CAAATCAAAGTACTAGCCTGGGAAACTCTCCTGATTTAAATCCAATTGAGAATCTGGTCAATCTGCAAGGAACGATTTTGTGGAATGGACATATGAAGTACTAACATGTGCACTGCATCATGTTTCATTGGAAAAATATAAAAAAAAGTATATAATAACGGAATTATTTGTTTTGTTTTTGCACAAGGGTGTGTGTATATATATCAGTGGGAACTCTAGTGGGGTTGGGCTTAGCCCAAGTTAGTCAATATTTCAAGTAAATCTATTCAATGCAACAAAAATCCTTTCTAGTGCATTGTTTTCATTCTTGAATTCAGCTGGTTCCAAAATTAAATGTTTTAACTTTGTGCCTTAAAATATTGATTGAAATCGATTTTGTTGATATTGTTCATAATAAAGAAGAAAGAAAAAAAACACAAAGAAAATAAGTAAAAAAAAAAAAAAAATGAAATAAAATTAATGTGGCTAGTTGGGCTGCATAGATCTGAAAAGCTGGAGACATACTTAATAGGCAATGTATTTCTTGCTTTAATTTTATAAGTAATCTTTTTAAAATCTCTGACTTATGTGCCCTGTTTTTCAAAGAACACATTTTTATTTCAACTTATCCTTTTCAAATGTACATTTTAAATATTTTATTCTGTACATTATAAGGTTTTTAGTAGAATGTATCTTTTGAAAAAGTACAAATTAAATTACGCCTGACCTTAAATTCTGCATAAATCAAAGAAAGTTAACTGCTGACTGGAGGGTTGGGGTGAGGAGTGTAACTGGGTTAGTGTTAAAGAAATATTATCAGTCTGCAGTGCTGATTATAAATGTGCAATAAAATTCAAAGGCAGAGAGAGATACATAAACACACTAACACATAGACATATATATAAACATGTACTTGAGATAGATACACACATTATTTTAAAAAAAACAAAAGTATCTGGCTTCATCATCACTCTATTTTCTTACAGGTCTGGAAATATTTTTAAATACATGTTTACTTTTAAAAAACTATCACAATTAATGTATAATTAATACCAAACTGTCTATTTTTTAATTTCATGCACAGAGATTTACAAAAATTATATATTTTATTTAGAGTAAAAAGGAATCATTTTAGCATCTAAGTTATACGAATATTATATTTTGTTAAAAATTATAATGAGCTCAACAAACATTGATGACCTAGAGTGGACTTTCATTCATATATATATATATATATATATATATATATATATATATATATATATATAGGGTCCACGACTTACATCATAGATCTGTTCCTATGAAGAGACGTAACAGAATTTTTGACATAGGTTGGGCATCACCTACTTAACATCCATAAGTCTGCCTTATGCTTGGGAGCCATAATGAAGGGTAAAAAGTTCTCCAAAAATAACGCAAATGAGATAGTGAATGTTGCACAATCCAATATGGCATGCATTCGATGAAGAAACAACATATATTTATGTATATATATATATATATATATATATATATATATATATATAATGATCCACTATATATATAATGATTCACTATATATATAAAATATGAAATGATTCATTACATATATAAATATATATATATATATATATATATATATATATATATAATGATCCACTATATATATATATATATATATAAAATATGGAATGATTCATTATATATATAATGAACCACTATATATATAATGATTCACTATATATATATAAAATATGGAATGATTCATTATATATATATATATATATATATATATATATATATATATATTATAAATTAATTGATTTAAAATATGTTTTTTTCCACTACACAGTTCTAACCATGTTTAAAAAACCATATTTTGAATGCTCTGTAAATTTACATTGAGCACTATTTTGTAAAATAAAAATATCTATAAGAACACGGATTATATATCTTACTGTTCTTTCTTTTTATTTATATATATACACACACACACATATATATATATATATATATATATATATATATATATATATATATATATATATATAATCCTCTGCACTGTTCCCAGATTGATACCCAAACACTCTGAAATGTTTGTATTGGAGTTTCTAGTGTGAATGCCAAGAAGTACAGCATGCTGTTCCTAAATTTCTGGCAAAGTGAATTGAGTCATGGTGCTCTTTGCTCTTTTTGTCACAGATGGTGCCGAACCTAACCTACTATATACTCTACAGTCAACAAAATCAAAAACAAAGAATGCGCATGCACAAAATTAAAAATATAAAATGGTGTTTTACTATAGGCAGCAATTATCCATCCAATTAAGTTTGATTAAAAATAAACAAGGTCTGTTTCATTTTTTATTCTAATTTTCTGGTGCAGAATCTTGTGCTGAAAGATGTATGTGGGTAAACTCTCTGAATTTCATATTTTGTTATTTTTGTTTAAGTACTTTCAACTTTAGCAGTCATTATCAAGAACTGATATTGTGTATATGTGGTAGTTAGAATTCCTTCATCTGCATTCTGGTATTCTTTAGGAAGCTGGATGTTTGAAATGGTCTAGCATGATGTTATCTGTAATGGCTGTTGGAAGTCTAACTAAAGACTTCAAAATTTGCCAAAATAGAGCATACCATGATGAAAAAAGGCCCCAAACTTGATAAAAACAAAGTTTTATCATCAAAATATTTATGTTATTATTAAGAGGAAAGACCAAAATATTTTTTGATTATTTTATGAAATTTTTTAATTTTTTCTAGCACATTTAATTTTGGTTAAAAATCTTGTTTTTCTTGCATCAGTTAGTGGGCCAAAGATTAGTATTGGAAATTTTAGCATCTTTTTTGGCATTAAAAACACATTGTTTTGGAAATTCTTGCAAAAATCAAATAATTGTCAGATTTTAATGATATTTTCAGGACTTATTCACAAATTAATTAAATCATTTTTGAAAATCTTGGTAAAAATAATTTTTTTTTTATATCTGTTATCCCCATCACTTACTTTTTTTATGAAATTTTGAGAAATTAAAATTCCACCATCTTCATATTTATATTAGTTAAAAGTTCTTGGAGAATTTAAATCATCAATTTAATTTTCTTAAACAAAATCATCATTTACCCAAAATTTGCTCTGTATCATAAAATAAAAAATGCTCAAAATTTTGACATTATTTAGTTAGAAAAGCTTTTAATTGCTCTTATAAATAAGATATATAAAAGGACATTATTCTCTTAATAAAATTTTTTCAATGTATATTTAAGTTTTACAAAAATTGTTTCATTCTTTTTTTAATTTTAATTAGAATAATTTAATTTAATAATTTAAGTTTGAAATATTTTAGAATTCTGTATTAATTTTAAACTTTTAGATGATATAATTAAGTAAAAATTATATTTACTAATTATAAATGGAAAAGCTTCTTAGTACAAATCATAAGACAACAATATTTGTAAAAGAATTTTAAATTTATTTTGTATGTACAGTGTAACTCGGATAAGAGAGTTGTCGGGACCGGAGAAGAAGTCTCTTATATCCGGGTTTCTCTTATATCCGGGTTTGGTCTATTTTGTTTAGGTAAGTATGGGCTCTAATTTGGGACCAGAAAAAATCTCTCTTATATCCGGGTTTCTCTTATATTCGGGTTACACTGTATATAAATGTGCAGTTTTTTGTAGATTTGGATGTCAATGACATTATCAGAAAATAAGTGGTAACTATAGTAAAATTAAAGCCAAAAATTTCTAAAATTCAATAAAACTAAATTTTTCTAAATTTTTAAGATTACCAAATACTTAAGTCAGGTGTTAGGTATTTAGGTGGTTATGTTATATAATCAATTTTTTTTTATGGCTAAAGGCCTCATGAGCAACATTAAAACAACAATCTGTTATCAAACAGTCAACAGAGTAAACACCTACTGTCAGGTTAAAAAAAAAATGCATTTCTGTGATATTTTAAACTTAAAGTAAATAATATAGTTGTTTCAAGTCAGATTGATTATACTTTCTTCAGCTAAATAAAGTTTCAGAAAAGTATACTTTATTTTTGGAAGATTTTTTAATAAAGAGAATTACATTGTGAATAAGCCATATTAGCAAAAAAAAAAAACAAAAAAAAAACCTTCCAGTCAATTTATCTATCTATAAAAATTTGTGATTCGTGCTTGTGCGGTGTCTTGACCATCTGGCTTATAATAATCATTTAAGTTTCTTTGATTGTGTGCGTGCTTATATTTCAGCTTTCTTTCAAGTGAATATGATTTTTTAACAAATATTTTTTGGCATCTGAATTAAAAAATCAAGTGAATAAGATTCAAAAATACAAGTTGTTTAAAGTAGGTATTTTTATTTCAACTTTCTTCAAACAGACAACTTTTTTAATGTTGAAATAATAACTCCAATGTTTTATAGCCTGAACCGTGAGTGACCCAACTGGTCACGCGTAGTAAACACAGCAAAGTAATTCTTTTTATTGGAAATATTAAATAAATTTATTTATTAGCTTGGAATTAAAAAAAGTAAAAGCCTCTCAAGAAAGATCTTTCATTTTTTTAAATCAATTTAAAAAAAAAAAAAAAACAACCTTATAGCGTTTTATGTTGTACTACCTACTAAAAAATAGGTAAAAAAAAGTGGTGTGATTTTTACGTTCTATTTTTTAAAGTAGTGGATACACGTGTTTAAGTAGACGCTTGTGTTTTTTAAACAGTGTGTACGTAATTGACCTCTGCTTGTCTGGGTTTTTGGGATACTTTTTATGAGCTTTCCGGATATAATTCAATACTACTTTTTATGAATCAGATGACCATTTTTCTCAAAAATTCCTTTTCTAGTTGTACAAACTTTACAAAAGTAAACAAAATCTTTAAATAATTTTTGTTGTATGAACCAAAAAGTGAGGCAATTGCGAATAATAGAAACACGATATTTTTAGAACTTGCTCGCCTAGAAACCAAGTGGCAAGACTTGTGTACGAGTTGTTAAAATAGATTTTGTTTGAAAAATTAACAGTGAGTCTTCTTCTGGTCTTCATTAGATGTGGTAAGTATCTTATTTTTCCAAGTCGCTAAAAACATGTGAAAATTGCAAATATTTAAAAAAAAAATACTCAGAGGAAGACAAAAAGTTCGTAAAAAAAAAGGTTTCTAACTTGGTTAATAATAATAATAATCTTCATTTGTTGAATTTCACACTTTTACTGTTAATTCGTAGTGTTAACTAAACTAATAAACATCATTAGTAAAATTATAAAATAAAAAAAAAACTCAACATCACGAGTGTCAATTGCAGATTCTTCTCTTTAAGTTTAAAATTAATAAAAAAAAAAAAAAAAAAAATGTCAAATGTAAAAAATGGTGGTTCATAAATGAAAATGACAGTCGTTTCTAATTATTTCTTACCTCAATTTATTAATTAGAATTAAAGTGCTTATTACACTACGGATTATTAAAATAATTTTCGAAAATGCATTTTTAACTGTAAGTTAGTAGTTTGTGTAGTTGTGTGTAAGTGTACTGACAAACTAAACACTACTACTAGAGAATGACTCAACAAACTATGTGTAAAAAATGTTTTCTTACCATTTACAATATAGGTTTGTAAAAAATGCAAATAATATAAAAGTTTGTCTCTTTTGACATATTTTTTAAAAAAATTCAATCATCATTGTTTCAGTGTCGATAATTTAAAATTAAAAAACTCATGTACCAAAAAAAAACACTAGTTACTGCGCCACAAGATAAAATGTCGGTGGGGGTGTAAAAAGTGCGTGTGGCTGTCAGATGATAACAAGTCTTCTTAACTAAAAAAAAAGATTCAATACATAATTTTTTATCCGATTCTTTCAGTTAGATCTCTAAACTGAAAGAATCGTATAATTATCCTCGATTGTAAACTTTATAAATGTAAACTAAACACATTTTTCTTTTGATTTTTAAGCACACTCTCACTCTCTCAGAGACCGAGAGACATTTTTCCGAATATAAGATTTTAAAAAATAATAATAATTTTTTTTTTTTAAAGAGTCATTAATGTGTCAAAAGAAAATGAGATTGAGTAACCAAAATATATTTTTTGTTGGACATCAGAGTTTTACGACACAAAAAAAGAGCCAGAAAAGATAAATTTAGGAAGATTGTGTAATGTTATTTCCCCAAATTGTGCTGAGGGCCAACCGACCTGCATTGAAAATGAACATTCGAAATCCTGGAATTTACCTGGGTTCGAACAGTTACAAGAAATACGTAAATTATCGTTATGTGTTTCCTTTTTTGGTGGATAGGGGAGCATCACTCAATTAAAGAAGGGACTAAATTGGTAAGTCACCGTTTTTCCAAGTAAGACTTCATTTCATTTTTTAACACTCTTTTAAATGTCTTTATTCTTTATCTTTTGTTTACATATTTTCTTCGAATCAGATGAATCCATATTTTTTTCTCTCCAATTTATTCGAAAAATTCACGTACTTGAGAGAGTTGCGCATTATTTTCCAGATTAAAAAAAAATAATTAAAAAAATGCTGATTTTCAAATCAAAATGAGAATACTTCCAATTTTATTTTTTATTTTTATAAAATGTTTCAGTTTCTGTTTTTTACCCAATACAAGGCCCAGGTGCCATTCAGTGTAGAGTGTTACTGTGTTACTGTGTGGCGTTGCATGAACGTAGGTACGAAAAAGGTAAAGAAATGAAGTTCACGAGGCTTAGAAAGATTAGATAACGAATGCCAACCGATTGGATTTAAAACCCTTGACTTGAAGAGGTCAAGATGGTAGAGATTGGGAAAACATCCTGCTGGGAGTCTGTCCTACAAAGCAGTAGTTCTTGGGATGAAGCTGTCCGAATGGAACTTACTCCTTACTAATGGAATACGAAGAGAATGGGGATGATTCACTTTATCTTGTGTATGGTGGGTCTCAGTTTTAAAGGTCAGGGGTGATTGGACCAAAAGGGATGTGGCTCATGCCATAATAGAGCAACGTAAGGCTCGCAATGTTTCGTCTGTGAGAAATATTGTGGGATGGAAAAATAATTCATCATCCACAAAGCCGCGTAGACGCTTTTGACCTCTATCAAGGCAGGCATGTGAGGACTGTTCAGCTCCAGCCCAGATATAGCTCCATTTTTGGTTTGGTCTCGCTTTTGTAAAGATAGAGTATAACAGGGAAGTCAGATACTAACTGGATCGGTACAATGAAAATTGAAAACCAACCATTTTTTTTTTCAGGATTTTTAGCAATAGATCAGATATTTCATAAATATATATATAAGTACCGCCAAAAAAAAGTGATACCTAAATTTTAAAATGCATTTTTAAAAATGATAAATGTTTCTTGAAGCTTGTAAGAAATTCTGTCATCCAGCCTTTTTTTATATTAAAAATCCGAACGTCTGAATTCCAAACAATAATAAAATAAAAGTAAAGAAAATATAGGTGTAAACAAATCATTTGTATTTACAAACACATGTACATGAATTCAAAAGCGTCAAAAAAAGGGTAAAAATAATCTTTATTACAATGATACCTCGACTTAAATCTTTTCGAGTTAAGTCATTTCCGAAGATACGTCGGTTTTTCTTAAATATTATATAGAAAAATAAAACTCGGCTTACGTCGTTTTACTCGAGTTTACGTCGGCCGTTAAAAATATTAGAAACGTCAAAACACTAAAATAACAACACATATAAAATTATATTCAAATAAATTTAAAAATATAATCATCAAAAACAAAAGAATTAGTATTGTGATGCGTGTTCTTAGCGCATATATCTATTGTACATTTAACAATTCAAGAAAAGACAACGAAACGCCATATGAGGATCAACAAATACATATATATTGAAATATAACATACAAAACAATCATGCAATGAAGTGTAATGATTAAGGAAAATAAGTTGTTCCTCTTCAACTGTATTCTGATTTATGATTGAATGTTCAAAAGAGTTTCTCTTGAATAAGAATGTTCAGGATTCTATGTTGACTAGAGTCTGCTGTTAGAATAGAATACAGTTAATTAAGAAATGTGTTGCTTTGAGAAATTAATAGAATGTTGGTTCATGAACTTGGCTGAGTCACAGAGAGAGATATGTGTAATGTGTTACAAAAATCTGTGTCTGTGTGTGCGTTTGAAATGTTGTGAGTAAAGTCGTAGATTTGTGAGGACAGGCGAAAATAGCTGGACTCTCCTGGCTGCTTATGGAAAAATTTCTTCTTTTAAAGCTACTGATAGGCTCCCAGCGAAAACGCGGGAAAAAATGATTTAGCACTAAAATGTTTCATTGGTTAAAATTTGACCAATTACTGATTTTGTATCAACGAAACATGTGAGCCAGTTCACGACCAAAAAAATCAAAGTGATGACTGCGATTGCTAAATTGTCTTATAGAAAGGCAGTATTGATTTACTAGCCAATCGCAGACGAATAAATTGTGGACGTGGAAAAGTATAGCAGTCACTACATATAAAGTATGTTCAGATGTTCATATTTAAAATTGATGCCGACAGGCGGCACTTGGGCATTTTTCCTGCTCCAACGCCGATTTTGAATTCAAACTGGTTTATATTTGTGCTCTGCTGTTGACGTTCTTTCAGTTACATTCCAATCGTGATTTAGAATAAATTTTTGACAATGACTCCGAAAAAAAGTCCTAGTGCTAATGTTAAGCGTAAAGCTACATCGCTGGAAGATAAGGTGGAAATTAATTGTTTTACTCAGAATACTGTACGTACATATAAATACTGTAAATAGGAAATGGGGAATGCTTATTTGCGGTTTATTGTGGTTATTTCGACTTAAGACGTTTTTCGACCTAAGTCGTGACCTCTGGAACCAATTAACGACGTCGGGCGAGGTATACCTGTATTTTTTTTTTTTTTTTTTTTCAGTAATATTCACCATGTACAAGGGGGCTACTTTTCGTAGAGGGCTACATTAAGGTAGCGTTTCTCAACCTTTTTACCCTTGCGTAACCCTTAAATTACATGTCTCAAGGAACCCCTGCGCAAAAACAAAATTATATATACCATATCTTACTCATTTTATTTTCATCGTAGTTCACGTGGTAAATATCATAGTATATAATATATTTTTGAATAACTGGTTTAAGGAAAAATTAATACTTTATCAAATTTTTCGGTAATCATACTTATTATAAAACCCAGGTTGTGTGTGTGTGTGTGTCTGTACGTTTATATATTGGATCGGATTTCCTACATTTTTCAACAAAACTTCACAAGACTACGTAAAATTACTTTGCGGTGGTTCTGACAGCGCCAGAATTGGAAAAACACAATTGTTTTTGCACAAAATCAATTTGAAAACACAATTAAGAGGCATCGCCAGAATGAAAGGGGGACAACTCATATCGAGTTATACTTATTATAAAACACAGGTTGTTTGTGTGTGTGTGTGTGTGTGTTCGTTTATATATGGGATCGGATTTCCTACATTTTTCAACCGATTTCAAAAGAACTTCACTTTTTTTTGGCAGGTAGTGTTTCTTATTGTCTTGCACACTTTTTTTTTTATTTTATATTCAGAATGCTTTAAAATTCCATTTACAAGACAATTGTTTATAATAAAATTCTATTCAATTCAATAACGATTGAAAACAATGTTTTTGTGAGTTTGGGTTTGACCAATTCGTTAAAAAAAAAACTAATTAAGACATGCGTGTCCGTCAACCGTAAACAATAATCTTTGTCAATTTTATTTTTCAGTCTTTATGATGGTCGATACTTGATCTATCTCTTACTGTTACATCCCTGGGCAACGCCAGGCTCTACTGCTAGTGCTAAATAAAATTCATACTGTTCGTTTATAATACTTCATCAGGGAGTTTTCATTCACACACACCCAAAAAAAAAATTTTATTAACTCAAACGTAAAAAATGTAAATATAAGTAACCAATATCATATACTTAATATTAATAAATGTAAACAGAACGAAAACAGATAATTGCTGCATCATTTTTTTTTTTTTTTTTTTTTTTTTTTTTTTGTTCTATTCTTTACTGGCAATGTTGAAAAGACATAAGTT